TACTTAGGCATTTTCGACACGTTATGAATTAAGCTCAACAAATTAAATGAATGCTTCTTCCAGGGATTTATACAGTTTCAAAACTCATGTTTCTAGACAACTTCCATCTCATCTCACCTGGTATTTAAGAAAGAACCCTCACTTTTATTTACAGTTGCTCTAATGTAAAGGACTGTTTTTGCTAAAATTAATATAAAGAAATTCTGTGGAGACAATGGAGATAAAGAACTTTGAAAACAATGTCTCATAGGTACAGGGACCGAGAGGCAAGAAAATTTCAGTCAAACGCTTTACTGAAGCACTGCGTAAGTGAACGATAAATATGTGTGAACAGTCCACAATACCTTAAATGGAACGTATGTGTACGGTTCGCAGTACGTTAAATGTGTAACTACGAAAAGCTTTTAAAAGTGGGATATTCTGGCAATGAAGAATCAGTCTTCTGCCAATTGAGCGGCGGAGATGAGTTCAATAAATGGTGTTTTTTCTATTGATTATTATATGGTGATTTTGGTTCGTAGAAATTTGAGCTTAATAAGCTGGGAGTTTATTAACCAGTGAGTTTAATAACCGACGGGTATTGTATTTTGAGGCATGGGCAATTCTAGGCTTACTCACCATGGGGGAGGGAACTAAGTATTCATTAGGGTCAAAGAAGCAGAAAAATAAACCCAGTTTCCTAGCATTTTCGAACATAAAGCTGAAAACCACAGCTTCCGCGCGCCACCTGCAGTAACAGGTGGGGCAGAAAATGGAAAGTACTTGATCTGAATACTCGCTTCACAAGGCCGATGACAGAATTCCACCTGTTTTCAACCCGTGCGTTTTTGCATGTTCAACACAACCGCAAACACAGTAAATTACCTATTTCTTTGAAAACCTTGTTCAAAGGCGTTATTTCAGAGATGATTACATCGAAAATTTTGAATACTACAGATATTTTTACTTCCTTGTTCGAAGTAAGGGTATAAGGTATTTCTCCCACCTTCTTGGCGTGCCTTCGTGGTGTAGTGGTTTGCACCCTGGGCCGGTATTCCAGAGGTCCGTGGCTCAATTCCCGGCGAAAGCAGTTGCTAATTTTTCATCTTGCCTGCTTCCAAAATTTACCTTATGTCTCAACAGTGGCGCCCGAACTAAAAGGGGTGGTGGATCATGATTTCTCCCCACTCAGGATTTGGCGATTGGGTTCCCTAAAAACCCCAGTCGCGCTTTAAAAGGGGCAGTATATAAGGTATTTCTCTCACCTTCTTGGCGTGCCTTCGGGGTGTGGTGGTTTGCACACTGGGCCGGTACTCCAAAGGTCCGTGGTTCAATTCCACGGAAAAATTAGCAACCAAAATTAGTTGCTAATTTTTCATCTTGCCTGCTTCCAAAAATCCTAATGTCTCTACAAGAGAAATATTATAATCGCAAAAAATTTCGGATATCATATTTCCACGGAAATATCCATTTCAACCGTTCCCGAATCCATTTTGCTTATTATTATTATTATTATTTTGAGTGCCGTCTGTACTTACGAATAAAATTTTCCATGACGTCTGTCTGTTTGCACCCTCCCCCCACTTGCATACTCCCTCCCACTTGGGAACTTCGGTATACTAAGGATTCATCCTTCTTCAAAATTTCGTGTCATATGATGTAATCATGTTTTTTTTTTTTTTTTTTTTTTTTTTTTTTTTTTTTTTTTTTTTTTTTTCAAATTTTTATTATAGAAAATCTAATTACCTATGTTACGTCCTCTCTAATCTTATTGTATTCATCATTGTACATTATGTTTGATGTCAATTATCTTGACTTCGATGAATTTCTACTCAAATATTTTTAATTAAAGACTCAACAACTCAAGGACTGTTTTCTTCTTTTATTCAAGACCTACTTATATTCTCAAGAACTGTTACCTTTTACTTATCTCTACAGGTTACAGACTACTATTTTTTTCTAGACTGTCTTAAAATGTACAATTACATTTATATATATAATTTGGTTATTCTTCAAAATTATTATATAAAAATCAGTAAACATAAATTTTCAACCTAAGTAACAATTCTCTAAATATTTATATTATGAGCTTTATTGTAAACATTGCCATCTATGTAAACACCACAAGACCTGTATAATATGTCTCTGTATGGCATATGTATATTTGCACATCCATTGTAACTTTGTAAAATTTTATTTCAAATAAATACCGCTGATAGCGGATGGTAGATAGTTTCCATCAATAGAGCACAAAAGCTGAGAGTCGTAATGATGGTGCAGTTGCTCTGTTGATGGTCTCCTGTCTCCTGTCTGTTTGCATATATTTGTCTGGCATAACTTAAAAACGATTAGCCATAGGATGTTGAAATTTTGTTTATGGGATTGTTTTAACATCTAGTTGTGCAAATCGTTGGTCGTGCTCATATACTTAAAATTACAGAAGTGAATAAAATGAGGAAAATACTCATATTTTGGAAGATTGTTAATTAAAAAAATAGGAATTTGGGACAAATAACGAAATCTAGCTTCTAATGCCGTCTCCAGGCTCCTATACTTATATTTGTAAAAGTGTTACACTCCTTATGCAAAAATAAAATTATAAGAAGTTTGACTTCCGTACGATAAAATGGACCGAAATATTTAATTTCAAAGTTTGCAGGTTTGGATGCCCTTTTCAACTTGTCTTCAGGGATCGGTTAAATAAGTAAGAATAATTCGAGGAAATAAGTTTAAATGAAGTGCAGCACAAAATGTGTGTAATTTAATAGAGCGTACGAGGAGGTCATGTGGTATCCACATCAGATTTGTCACTTTTGGGGAAAGCCGAGTTCCTATTTTGCACGGAGGTTTGCATAATATATGCTAGCCGTTCTCAAACGAGTAAACAAAAATTGAAAAACTTTAGTACCACCACTACATTTTAGAATGATTACTTTTCAGTTTCGCAACTGAAATATTAAAAAAAAATGTATTTTGTCAGTTGCACAACCTATTGCCTATTTGTATTAAATACACACACATAAAAAATACTAGATTAAAATTGGTTACCATTTTAATAATCAAAATTGAAGTTATAATTACTTTGATTCTAAAATTTAGTGTGAAATTTGGGCCTGTTTAGGAGAGATCAATTTTTATATGTTTGGTCTTATTTTACTTAGTTTTAACAGAAAATTAGGATCCACTTTCAATTTTGTTCTGCATTTATTTTTCAAATATAACATGAAAGAAAATCCTTGTTCTTCCAAACAGGTTCTACAAAAAGGCAATAAAAATTTAATAGCTTTATTTGAAGTGCCTTTAAATTCTTTTTTTCGGTTTAGCCAAAAGTCAACAAGTGTTGTTCTCTTTGAAACCTTCAGTTAGAGTTCGAATCGCAAGAAATTTCTATCAATTCTTCTTGTTCTTCACGAGATAAGACTTCAGGTACAATTCAACAAAACAATTTTAATCCACCTTTCTTTTCATAATCCTCGGGAAAATACATGTTGAAATTATTTATCAATAAAAAAATAATGAGTTTTAATGGTGGATGCTAATTCTTCTTTTATTTAAAAATGATTTTCGGTTAGAAAACTTTCTAAAAGAGGTAAAAAGCTTAAAATATTATTTTCCAATTCTTTGATTATTAGCTCGATTTTTTTTTATTATTGTATTCATTTTATCGCTAACAGTAAACAAATTAACACTTTGCCCCTAAAATCTTAAATTTAATTCATTTAACTTTCCAAAAATATCAGCTAAATATCTAAACACGCTAACCATAATTCACTGAAAGTTTGAATTTATGATCAAAGTTTAAAATGACGATTTAAAACTTTGCCTCTGGATAACCACCTTATTTCGGAATGTAACAATAGCATTTCATGTTCACTTTCCCTCTCTTAGCATAAAATGGTAAATACTCCTGAATTTAAAGCTCGGCTTTTAATAAAATTAATAATTTGCACGGCTTGATAGAGCGAAGGTTTTTCGGAAATTGTTTTGGCTACTAAAGCTTCACGATGAATGAAGCAGTGAATAACTTTAGTTTCACGTGCGACTTTCTTTATCTGAGAAATCTTACCGGAGTGTTTTCCTGTTAAAGCCCGAGCTTCGTGACTGCACACGGCAATGCACTTATTCCAAAGAATATCATTCCCAGATATTAAATTGTCAATTACTTTGAAAAATTCGCTTGCAGATGCTCTATCATGAAGAGATTCACAAAATAAATACTCCTCGGCCATTCGTTTATCTTCTTCGAAACGTATCTAAGGTAATGATTCAACAATGTTCGTTAATCAGTACTTTCATCCAATTGCAATTCGAAATACTCACTATGTTTTATTTGAATAAGTGTCTCTTTTATGGAATTTGCCATTTCATCCGTTCCTCGACCTACTGTAATATTTGATAATGGAATATTATTAAGTTCATTAGCCACTTTTTCGTTGAATAATGTTAAAACGATATCTTTAGCTGTTGGTAATGTAAGGTTTTCTTAGTTAGTGTAGCCTGCCCAGTCTTGGCAATTCTTAGGCTGACTAGGTAACTGCGACTATAATTTTGCTCTCATTTAATTCGAAAAGCGGTGTTTACGTAACTAGCAGGGAATTAAAACGCATTTGCTCTTTCAACGCGCACTGTTTCTTTTGTAGAACCATCAAGCTTCGATGCTGATATAATTTTGTTTTATTTCTTTTCTTAAAAATCTGTGTAAGTGATGTACCTTTCTAAATGCTTTCAATAAATATTTGATAAAAAAATAATCAGTATCATAGTACTGAACACGCTTTCCATTGATTATTATCCAAATAAATTTCGAATGATTTAATATAATTTGTTGAAATATTTAGAAATACACTCAAGGAAAGGAAAAAATGCAAAATGGCCTTTAAAAGTTTATTTCATATGAAATATTTTATTTCGGGCTTCTCATTAAATGCCTTTGGAACTTACTTATTATTATATATTGCTGTGGGAGTTTTACTCTGTGCTTATTAAATTTTCTTATTTTATGTGTTGTAAAAACTGCGCAGTCGCAGTGAGAATCATGAAACCCAAGTACAGTCTCTATACGCCGAGATGGAAGAGCAACTCATGCAAGAGAAAGAACGCATTCTTGCTGAGGTAAGTGTTGGCAAAACTCCAATAAAACTTCGCAGTATATTGCGTTACTCAAAAAGTAAAGATGCATGTAAGTAGTCTCACACTCAAATTGCATGAGGGTCGAATGCACGATTTGAAAACACCTGACGGGCCAGAATTAAATTTTTTTTTATAAAAGAAAATTTTTTATCAACGAAATAAAAAATATTAAAAAAATAAAATTTAAAGCCTAAATTAAAGTAAAATTTTAATTTAGTTCACTAAATATTTATCAAAACATGCATAAAAAATAATAACATCGCAAATGAAAAAAATGCAAATTTATATTTATATTCTATTTGAAATCTAAAGTTAAGATATTTTTGTTTACACTTTGTTACTCGCATTCAAATATATAGATAGTTAAATATTAAATTTTCTGACTGATATTTATTTAAAATTATTTAAACATGTTTAATTAATCATTGAATAATTTAGTTTAAACTAAAAATAAACAAGTTGTGAGACCTTACTACGTTCCCAGAGAAAACTTTCCCAAGTGAGAATAAATAGTGGCAATCTAGTCTCTTTCTCATATTCACTAAATTTTCTTCGACTCACAAATAAAAATACATACGTTTGTATGTTAATAATTATACGCTTCTTTTATTTTTTATTACGCTTTACGGTTGATGGCGTTGAGATTCTGATAACTTTGGAGAGAAATTTATTATCTTCATCATGGATTGTATACTAACTGCTCGATCAGTTACATTTCTTAATAATTTTCAATTGTGAAAAAAAGTTGTTTGCATATAAATTCATTCAAAAACAAAGAGATTATTAGCAGTGCAAAAATTCATAACTGAATCTGCTTACGTACAATAAAAGTAGCAAAATCGTATCTCCAAATCTATGAATAAGATAATAAGATTTATATCGCATTGTAAATTAATTAGCTCCATTTATTGATTTTCTGGCGTGTTATTCATGTTTGTTTTCAACGGTAATGAAAATAAAGCAACCCCGGACTTCAAAAAACTAAAATCTTGAAATCTCTGTGACAGCGTAGTAATTAAATTGTATTCACGAGATGCATAAATTGCTTCAGGGACTACAGTTTGATACCACTGATGTATATAATTTCATTTCGCCAGTTCAAAATAAATCTATACTAAACTAAACCATGTTAATTAAAATTTATTTGCCAGCAATTTTATCTAATTAATTAAATTATTTTTATAAGGGAATAAATTTTGTAGAAATAACTATTGAATTCATACATTAAGCTTATTTTAGGTAATTTAGCCGCTTTTATTATACTTTATCTACCTCCTTAAACTGGTTTAAGTTTGGCTTGTCCAACTTTAGTGGAAGTAGATCAGCACTGATAATACGACCAGCGTTCGAGTCCAGGTGACCGAGCTGGCTGCATGAATGTTTTCGTGGATTCACTCGAGGATACGATCTACTTTCCCTTAGAAAGTCCATCCCGAAGTCATCCCTTAAGGGATAATTTTGATGTAATCAAGTAATCTTAAATTAAAATAAAACCAATTTCCATCGACCTCCGGATTACCTCGCCTACGGCTTGTAGTCTCCCAGATAGGATAGTGTTAGTGACGTAAACCGCTGAGTTGGCTCCTGACTCAGTTTATATTTGGTGATGTGACAATTGCCTAGATGATAGTAATGCACAAGTGGTATTTGCACACATCATTACTGCGGAAACACGAAATTTTCTAACAAGTGGTAACAAGTTATGCACAATAAGAGACACTTCCTTACAGCCTGTTAGAAACAATCAATCCGCCTTACGATTTATTGGTTTGACTTGTTTCTTCACTAGTGTTCATTCCTGCTTTACTATTCTATTTCAGAGTGTTTCTTGTGTATAATAAGACTTTTTTTTTAGCCTAAAAGGGTGCGACTCTTAGTCTCGAAGCGGGATTTGGCGGCGTATCACTTTAAATGTCTGAATCCCTTTTCAAATTGTTGCCACGAAATATTATCGTCCTGTATAACTTTTAAAGAAATTAAATAATGAGGAATCTGCATGAATGTATATATGTTTCCAGCAATGTGAAAAAAAGACGGTACCTAGATCATCAAATTTTCAATAACGTAGTCCTCCACCCTGTTCGGGTCTTCCATGGAAGATCGAATTTTGAATTTTATATTTCATATTTTGTAAAACTTGTGAAATCATCAGGACGGTTTGAAGATATGAAAAATGTGAAATGCTCTCGACGAGACTCGAACCTGGATCTCTCGAATAAGCGCCCAGTGTGCTACCTATACTCTACGAAGGCATGCTTGAAAAGGAGGAAAAAGATACGTTATATATTGCCCCTTTGAAAGGGCAACTGGAGTTGAGAGGACCCAGTCGCCAGATCTTGATAGTAACGAATTATTTATTGTCTACCATCTTTTAGTTTGCGAGCCACTGTAGAGTTAACAAGTTTTTATTTTTTAGCATAATCTTGCATAGTAAGGAATTCAGGTCCACAAAACTACAGATTACAGTGAACAAGTTTGTCAGGTTCTATTACTCCACGTGAGACCAAATCTGCAGGATAAGTTTCCGATGGATCATGTCTCCATTGTTGCACATCTGACATATCTTGAATGGTAGTTACTCTGTTGGCCACAGAGGTTTTTAACTGCCGAGTATCCTTGTTTAACCACCATAGCACAATCACTAGGAGAATTGGTGCACATAACCCTAGTCTCGACACAGTGTTTTTCTTTAGGGATGTAACCGTGGATTTGTTCGCAATCATCTTTATCCTCATTTCTCCATTCGCATTGACTCATTTGGCATATATTACTGTCCCATAAACTAATTTTAGTGATCTCCGCGGACACATGCAACTCAATTGTTATTCCGTTTTCAATTATGATGCATCTCTCAATCTTCATGTTATTTATTACATGTAAAGACTTCATAAGCCTTTGTCACTCCTTTTGAGTTTCTTCTGATAAAAGGTCATTTCAATCTGTCTTCAGTAGCAACAACGTTTTCATAAATATCTTTGTTTTTGATGTAATTGGACCTAGCAATCCTAATGGGTCAAATAAACGCGATACAATTCTGCCAAAATTCTCTTAGTGTGCACAGTTACATCCTCAGTTCCTCAATAGGCAGTTTTATATTTAGTAAAGTTACTAAGGAATCTAAAAAATTACAAATTTCTAGATCACTCTCATTTTGTTTTTTTATTTTTGTGTCTGCTCGTAATTTTGCAAGCTCTGTTTTCGCTTTTACCCTTCCTAACTTAATCCGCTCTAAGTTAAGTAACCTCTGCTCCTTAAACGATATTCCATCGTTGTATTTATTAATGCGTTTACAAGTTCAATATCTGTTTGATGATATTTATTATTGTTAATCAATTCAGTTATTTTAATAACTGTTGCTTTTCAGATAGAGTTTCTCTTGACTCTGTGGCTATACGCCTAAGGTCCTCTTTCTTGCAGTTCTTTAACATATTACTCAAACAACACAATTAGATTTCATAAAAGTTTCACTTACTTCAGAAATTCTGTTCTCGTCCTCCGGCATCAAGGACCAACTTTGTCGCTTTGTTTCCTCACTCAAACATATAAAGTAATAATTGGATTGGGTTGGATTATTTAATTATGGCAAAGCACACGAGGGCTATCTGCCTAAAGGGAGGGATGCCTTCGTGGAGGACTTTCTAAGGGAAACTGGCTCGTATACACGTTACACATGGGGAAAACCACGAAAAAGCCCATGCAGCCAGCCCGTTCGCGGGATTCGAACCTCGGACCGAACTACCAGTGTTCAGCGTCTTTACCGCTCGGCCGCTGGTGGGCTATAAAGTAATAAATCCTCAAAGTTTACAGTATCCATTCTTTTTGTTTATATTAACTTATTCAACTGATGCACATTTTATTTGAATTATGGGTAGAACACTAACATTTTATATTATTTATATCTACTTAGCACGCACTCCAGTTCCTTGTTCCTGCGCACTCTCTCTTTTTATAAAATATTTGAACAGAGATGTTCGCGCCCAACTTTCTATTACGCAATTATGCCCGAACAAGGTTTGTTTTGATAATATTTAGAAAGCAAAGTTAAAAATTTATTTAAAACATTATTTATTTTGTTTTTCCAATTCTTCATTTTGTTAAAAAAAAAATTCTGGCCTACTAGCTGCTTTCAGATAATGTATTCGATCTGCATCTAATTTGAATTTGAGACAATTGTCCTAGACTATGCTCAAGCGCGTTCAAAGACCGCCGCCGTCATCCATTAGTAAGATTCGGCTTAATTTATTAAAATGTTTTATTAGTGAAAATATGATGAGGTCATATTGGACTTCCTCACTTATTTTATCCTCTCGCGTATTCCTTTTAGCACCAAGTTCTAAAAATTAAAAAAAATATTCGCGTCATTTTTCCTTACTTCATTGCAGTCAGAGAATTATCACCCCTAATTTTAAAATAGATTCGTTTACATAGTGATCCTTTAGTCTTAATAACAAAGACAAACCTTCGCCGACTGCATAGGAAGGTCACAGCGAACCTTTCCCCTTTAACTGTCAAACTGTCCTGGAGGTAAGAAAGGATGGAGAGACCAACCCCGTACTACGAGTGAAGCACTGCTCCGAGGCTTCGGTCTCCAAATGGGGTGTTTTTTGTTTATATTCAGGAGCTCTCTTGGCAGCGCTCTGATAATATTTCGACACACGACAGTTCCATCGAAAAACGGGACACTTTCGCATAAAAGAAATTGTTAGTTAGATTGTGTGATGGATAATAGCAATTTGTATAGTTTAGTGACATTTACGCAAAAATCACGCCTTGGTTATTTTTCGATAACTAACAACAGCAATTTTGATTATGAATTTGTTTTATAAAATTCTAAGCTGTTGAATTACAAAAATATAGATTTTAGCAAAAATGTTATGCTTAAAGAATGAAAAATACCTTACTTAAAATTGTATACGTCTTTCGATACCCTTGATAGAGTATTCGCTGCTTTTATTTGTTCCAAACGCATAGTGAATCCACAG